TTTTTTTTGAAAAAATATAATTTAAACTAAAATAATTGCTCTGCGCTATAGCGTGGGTTAATTTCTAGTATATATAGTAATCTGGATAATAACATTGATCAGTCACGTTTATTGTATTGTAAAAATTCTTTTAACTTTTTTTTTTCTTTATTTTGAGTTCCACATCTTTTGTAGTTGAACACTTTTATCAGCTCTCACTTCATTCACATATCTTTCCAAATTTTTTTTTTTTTTTGGACTTTTACCACAATTAGTAATGTAGTGTTCTCGTGTATCACGATGGGGAAATTTTTTTAGAAGATTTGAAATCTTTTAAAATCGAGAGAGTGAAAGAGTGAAATGGTTGATACATTTTTAATAGTAAGATGACATAAGTTAAAAATACGTTGTTTAAATGTTATGGAGAATCGACGATTTGGTAAGTGGTGTATATGCAAACGTTGAAAAGAAATAAAAAGTTCTGTAAACTCAACATAACTAAATAAAAAGTATATTGCAATAAACGTGTTTGATAAATGTTATTATTTAGATTTACAATGAATATGAAATTTATGAAAAATGTAGAATTGGATACCAAACCGACTTGTTCTTATTGAATAACATTTACAAGGTATTTATACATCATATTTTCACATAAACTTTTCTTAACTACCGATGTGGGACAAAATCTCATTTACAAAATAAAAAATATATATGTTTCTAAAACTAAAGGATACATAAATATCCTGTAAACGCCCCCTCATAGTTGAGCTTGAATATTCTGAACGCCTAACTTAGACAGTATAATATCAAACTGAGGTTGTCTTAATACTTTGGTTAAGATGTCGGCGAGCTGATCTTGTGTATGGACATGTTACGTGACAATAACACCTTCCTGAACAGCGTCCCTCACAGCATGGCAATCGCTTTCAATGTGCTTGGTATGCTCATGGAAAATGGGATTTTTTCGTGATGTTTAATAGCAGCCTTAATGTCACAAAAAAAAAGCGAATAGGCACAACATGTTCGATGCCAAATTCTTTTAACAATTTCTGAAGCCACTTAACCTCATGAAGACCTGCTGCCATCGACTGATACTCAGCTTCGGTAGAGAAGTGAGAGACTATATCCTGCTTCTTAGTTTGCCAAGAAATTAGAGATCCACCAAGTAAAACAACAAACGTACTAAAGGAACGTCGAGTCAATGGACACGATGACCAATCCGAGTTGCAATAAATCGTAAGTGTCAAATCTGAGTCGGCCTTAAGCAAAATACCGTGGCCAAGAGAACCTTTTAAGAAATGAACAACTTGAATCGCAGCTTCCCAATGAGCTTGCATAGATTCGAGCATAAACTGAGACAAAATGTGTACAACATAACTCAACTCAGGACAAGTATGCGTAAGGTAAATCAAACGTCCGATAAGTCTCTGATACTTAGTTGGATCAGACCAAGGAGAACTCGTAGTGAGAGCCAATTGGTGATTCTGTTCTAGTGGAGTACGAGCTGGCTTAGAACCAAGATTAGCCATGTTAGCAATGATTTCTAAAGCGTACTTGCGCTGTGACAAGAAAATACCTTCTAGTCCTCGACTAACTTCAATGCCGAGAAAGTATTTCAAGTTGCCTAAGTCTTTCATCAAAAAAACTTACTCATGTTATCTTTAAATTTGCGAAGCATGCTGGTGTGGATGTAGTGGGCAACTACAAGTGCACAGCCAACGCAGTCGTACTTAGGGATCGAATCGACATAGATTTGTGTCTTGAGGACTCCTAACTGATGCTAAAAACAATTGTAGGCCTAATCAGATTAAAAAAAAGGGGGGGGGGGGGGGGTTGGTTGTGACTGAATCTAAATAACTAAGCAGAAAATTAAAAAGCTTGAAAATCATTTGAGAACTATATGAAAAAGACGCTGGATTTAATTAAGGTTCGTTTCTAGGGTCCATGGTCTATAACACAGGGAATCTAGGTAAGGATTTTCTATAATTCCGAAACTAGGATAAACACTTATAAGATTAGCCAGCTCTCGTCACCCTAATCATCTAATTACTTAATCTCGACAACTAACTCACGCTCTCATGCTGGAATAAGATCATGCATTTCAGATCGGAATCCATCTTGGCTTACGTAACCTCCGTAGGTAGCTTTCGTCTTCTATGACGGGGACGTCCATACGAGACGTCCATAAGATCCAGTTTAGGTAACCCAGATACAACACTATGACGGAGACGTCCAGCATTCATAGCATCGTTGCGTACTTTGATTTGGACAGCCTCTTTAAAATGCTTAGGTTCGTGAGATTCCGTAATCACAGCCAAGAAACCATGATGCCCTGGAGAAAAATTAGCATCGGATATATGATCTGTCAACGAGTAAAGGGAGTACCTTGGAACGATGTCGAGGACTTGGAATTGGTGTGAGGGAGAGGGTATTTATTGCAAGTGACTATGTTACACACAAAATATCTGAGTAAGATGGATCGAGTCTGTTGTCCCTGTCCACAACCGAGCTGTACTTTCGACTATCGGTGGCTCGTTAACAACATCAGCAACAACAGCAACATATGTGTCCACCTCAGCCTCAACATCCTCTGTGACAGGTGGAGTATCTGCTTCTCCAATATCGAAAGAAGAAGAGACCCCCCTTGCTAAAGGAGCAGAACAAACATGCATATCCTCATTGCAAGCGACAACTGGTAATGAAACAAAGTCAAGAACAGATGGTTGAGCAGCAAACAGAAAAACATCTTCACAAAACACTACATCTCGTGATATAATGAACTTGTTACAGTTAATGTCGAAGACCTTCCAGCCTTTCTTCCCAAAATGATAACCAACAAATACACAAAGAGGGTTACGTTCGCCAAACTTGTCTTTGTCTCGAGTAATACGGTGAGTGTAGCACACCGTAATAGAGTGTAATCTGGTTTGACTCAATGAAGAACTTCATACGGAGAACGACCACGATGAGAGGCAGTAGGTGTACGACTGATCAAGAAAGCTGCCGTCAAAACTGCTTCACCCTATAACTTAATTGGTAAACTGACATGAAACAATAAGGCTCTTGCCACGTTAAGAATATATGTGTCCTTACGTTTGAGTCTACCATTCTGCTGTGGAGTCCCAACGCAAGATGTCTGATGTATAATCCCACGCTCACGAAAAATTGAGGAGAGACACATGAACTCTGTCCTGTTATCACTGCGAACCACCTTGGCAGACTTGCCAAATTGTTTTTCTATGTATGCCAAAAAATTTGTTAAGACTTGGCGCAATTCCGATTTTTGGAATAGCAAATATGTCCAAACAGCTCTCGAAAAATCATCAATGATGGTTAAAAATAAACTGCTGCACAAGAAGAGGGAGCTCGGTATGGACCCCAAACATCACAATATATTAAAGAAAAACAATCGGTTGTTTATTAATACTGTCTGGAAAAACCTTTTCTGGTTTGTTTAGCTCGAGAACACGCATCACAAGACTTTGAGCTAACATAAACAGATGAACTAGAAAACGAAGGTAAAGCTGAAAGCACGGAAAACTAGGATGCCCCAAACGTTGGTGCCATAAAGTCTGATCGAAAGCCGCATCAATGGTGTGAATCTTCGCGGTAGCAACATCCGTCAAGTAATACCCATCTCGCTCTTCACCGGTTCCAATCAGACTCTTCGAAACACGGTCCTGCAAGATACAAATAGTATTAGTAAACATAGCGAAACAACTTGTTTGTCGTAATATGTTAGAGACAGAAATCAGTGTACAATTCAATGAAGGCACATAAATAACATTAGTCAATGACACTTTGTCCGAAATAGGAAACACTCCCATGCTCAACGCAATTGTTTAACTTCCATCCGCGAAACCCACATAACACGGAGGAATGGACACAAGATCAGTTAACAAAGACAAATTCCCGGTCATGTGATGGGAGACTCCTGTGTCAAGAGTAACATTGCCATATTTAGTCTTACTAGACAATTTTTTGGAAGTACCGGTGCCTGATTTTATTTGATCATTTGAGAAAGCACCTGCCACTTCTCTGGAGTAAACTCTAGGAAAAGAGAAGCATGTGAACTTGTAGCATGAACAACTGTGACCTGTCCTCTACCCCGACCTGCACCACGGCCACCACGACCTCGAGAAGTAGAACCACGACTGCCACCTTTCTCACCACACTCTGTGAACCACTTGGGAAACCCCGCGATTTGCCAACAATCATTTTTCTCATGCCCTAAACGACCATAGTGAGAACAGAGCATCTGAGATTTCAGGACAGAAACCTCAGAGCTTGATCCTAAAGTTGTTTCTCGAATCACAAAGTCAATAGCATCCTGCTGATGTTCGCGAAGACGAACGCCACCCATACATTGTTCTTCTCTCATGACTTTGGAGTAGAATTCTTCAATCGACGATAGTGGATCTTGTCCAATGAGTGCGGTGCACATATTCCCATACCAAGAGTCATCAAAGCTCATAAGAAACTGGAGGATTTTCTTGTTGTCTCTCTCTTTCATAATTTTCTTCGCCGCTCTACAAGTACACAGTGGCAAAGGTTGATAGACCACCAGCTCATCCCAAAGAGTGGTCAGCTTGCCGTAATATTTGAACACCGACTGTCTCTGTTGACGACACCGTGCAAGCTGCGTTTTGAGCTAATGAATACGAACTTTGTTTTCCACCAAGAAATACTGCTTCAAGATTTCCTAAAGCTGACATGCTTCGGGAACAAAGGTCACTGTGGCTTTCACCTTTGGTTCGATGGATGCCCTTATCCAACCGAAGATCATGGAGTTTGCTGCAATCCAGTTTTCATAATCAGGGCTTCCACTTTCTAGTTTCTTCAAGGTTCCGGTGATGAAACCATTTTTACGCTTGGCCTGAAGTGCATTAAGCATCTTGCTGGCTCACAAATTGTAATTTTTTCCATTCATAATGACTAGAATAATCATCGAACCGGGATTATCCGATCCATACAACACATACAGAGAAGGAGACAATGTCATACACGGTTGCAATAACACAACGATAATTTAATTTGTTTGGTATTAATACATTGAATACAGTATAAAATGTATAAAAGCTAAGAAGTTAACAAATGAAAGTATTATAGAAGTTTTCTTCCCAATGAAATCAAGATTTCTCTCTTTTAAGAAATCTGAGCGATCTCAAGAAAGATCTTGTGAAGAGACTGAGGTTTAGAGAAGAAAGGACAATGATCACTTCCTTTGATCTTGAAAACTCCTTCGGGACTATTCTCTCGCACAAGTTTTTCTTGTACGTCCGGTGAAAGTGCCAAGTCGTCTAGCGTCTGAACATAGAATCTCCGACCTCTCCCATATCTTTCTCCACTAAGCGACAGTTTCTCCATCATAGGACCCAATGGTACAGGTCGCATCGAGATCATCGACAATGCAATGTCCTGAAAATATATTTAAAAATTGATCACACGTCATAAAGGTTGCATCATGGACTTAGTATAAAAACCGAACTAAGATCGAATGAAAATGCAACCAAAGAAACCGAATTAGCCGAATCGCATTGTTTATACAGGGTTGTCTAACTTGTTTTTTTTTTTTTTTCCTTCCAAGTATTTTTGTAATAAATCAAGAAGACAACAACCAACGTTAACAAACAAAAATCGAAACATAATCTGAAACATTAACCGAAGCAAACCAATCAAAACAAAAAAAATTTAAAATGTCCATCTTAAGATAAGGCTGTTGCTGCATCACTTAGAATGGTTCTTGAAAGTATTTTTACCTTATTGGGTGACTGGTTGAAGTATAAGCTTTTCATGTGTTGCTTCTCGAACATGAATCCTGTTGCAGGCTTGTCCTCTCCATTTCCATAGATCAAGAACTGCGACTCTTTCATGAACCGCTCAGCAGAACCAAGCTGCAATAGATGCACAAGATAAGAATAGAACTATGTTTCGACTTTTCATCGATTTCAAAATCTACAGGATCATCTTATGACTCTACAACCCATGTTTTAGTCTATGATTTCCTCGTTTGATTTGCAAAACAGATTTTTAGCTTTTTGAAATTGAGAAATGTAGATCACTGTGTAAGTATCTTAATGAGATAGAGAGATCAAAATACACTCAAGAAACATGTGTGAATGAAATTAGTTTGTGTTATTACCTCATCAGCAAAGACATCAAAGGGTCTTTGTCCATCAGAAACCATAGTGGCACATATGAATATAGCTTTAGAGATTTTTTCTGGAAATTTCTCTAATGCATAAGAAACACATGCACCTCCAGTACTGTGACCCACCAGAATTACCTGCAACAATCCACACTCATTGCCTCACTCGCGGACGTTTCATACCGAAAAATCAAGATGACACTAGAGCTCACATGGAAATTGTTAACCTTCCATAGAATATTCTTCAAAGAAGGCAGAGAAAAATCTAACTAAGGTTCAATGTAGTAAGATATTGATACTTGCCTTCCAGGCTACAACATAAAGCTAACAATCAACACGCGAGAACTTTTTAACCTTTTCTTCCAATGGAAGATTTTGAAGGAGCTCGATCAATGGTTTGGAATATTCTTCTAAGGTGTAAATGCTATTTGTATCTGTCATATTAAATCCAGATCCAGCGAGGTCGACCGTAACAGGAGATAGTCCTGACTCTTCCAATGAAGCAATAGTTTTGTACCAACACCATGCCCCAAACCCTTCACCATGCACAAGAATGAATTTCTTTACTGTCAAGCTTTCCAAAAAATCAGATACCTGAAGAGATAAAACGATACTTTGCATAAGCACAATGCATCGGTAAAACAGAACATACAATGTGATCTGATCTCTAGACAGACCAGGTTTATCATAGCAACAAGAAGTGTCAATTACAAAGCATTGACATTAATAGCGGTCAGGATCTTGAGTTTTCAACAAAATTCCCTTCTTTTAATTTTTAAAAGAGTTTGATTTTGAATCAAAGTTCTCTGCTTTCTACTTGGTAAAACTTAGTGCAATAACCAAAAAGAAGCTTCTTGTCTCACTCTTTGTTCTAATCACAACGAGTAGACCCGTAGAGTTAATATGACAACAAATGATTTAAACTTTTAAAAGGAAAGCCACTACATGACTTTTGAAAACCATCCGAGAAAGTAAACTTTTATCTTCTTCAAAGAATCAAAGACAAAACTTCCCTTGTCCCAACTTAATGTCACTATCAGATTTAATCTCTACACAGTTTTGAACTCTTTTTCTCAAATTACTGATTTATCAAAAAAAAATACTGATTTTGATAAGATAACCATATAAGAATCTTCTCTCCTCCACCTTTTTCCTCTCAATCTCAAAAAGCTATAACAACAATCATCAAAAAGCAACTTTCACTTCTAGCGATGAACAAACATTATAAAATTGGGGAAAAACAAAAGAAAAAAAAACCTAGTCAAAATTCGAAATTCGAAACCTTTATCATTATTATATGAAATTGAGTGAGTGACCTGCTTGTTATTGGAAAATGGGTCAGAGAGTGATCGTCTTCTGGAGCTAGTAGACCCGACCCGTCTAGACATGGATCCATCGAATCTCTGAGAAAGCTGAGCTTGATGAATTGCCAGAGACAAAGCTCGTCGATGCAACATCTCTTCATCACCAATCGATTTTCTTTGAGAACGGTTTAGTCTCTTGCTTCTAGATCCATCTCCTCCACTAGTTCTGACGATAACATCTTTCTTCTTCATACAGATAAATCTATTACCCATCTTCAGAAAATCAGAGACACAGAAGAGGAAATTCAGGAAAATTCCGTACAAAATGGCATTGATATTTTATTTATTCAAAAAATCGGTTTTTTTTCTGTCCACTGAAAGTCAACGACTACAACAAAAGATCTCTTAGGTGAGAGAGAAGAAGAAGGAGAAGAGTGGGTGAAGAAGGAAACGGTTATTAATTACACAAAAGAACGATTCAGATTTAAGACAAAGCAGCCAAAAGTTTATAAATTGCTTCGTCTTTGTGTGTGGATATTTCTGGGAGTTTGATACCTGCGTGTTTCCACTATTTTGTTCTGATTATTATTACTCTTCTGTTCCTTTTTGGACATGAGACATGTATTTTTCTCAACTCTCAACAGAATAATCTATCTGCTTTATACATATGATAAGCTTTCTTAATGTATGGAAATTGGAAAACTTACGTTGTATTGTTTATATAAAGATTAGTATCTGTTGTATGTTAATCTCTTTGAGTATATTGTTTTTGGAAACTTTATAAACTTTTCTAGAGAAATCAAGCTTTATTTATAATTCAATCAAATAATGTTTTACGTGCTTCCCTAACATTCTTTCATTGCATCTTTTTTTTTTTTGGTTACACTCTTTTAGGTTCCTATACTCGTGATTTTTGTTTTTTGCTGAACAACATGGATTATTTATATATATATACTGTATATATATGGGTTTGAATGTTTGATTCTGGGCGGTGCCACAAAGTATAATCCATTAGGCTAACATGTCATGGACAATCTTAATTTGCTAATACTACAGAATGGTGAAAAGTGGTTAGTTGCTTATAGAGAGTCTATGCCACTTGTCTTTGTACATATTATTTGATTAAGCCTATGCGACTAATGTATATAAGTTGTAATTGGTTTTTTGAATTAATAATGAGAAAACTGCTTTAAAAAACTCTAATATGGTATTTTAATGATCCTTTGATTCTGTGTGCGTATGTAGAGAGAAAAGAGATTTTGTTTCCTTTTTCTTTTCTATTTACAGTAATTTATTGCTCTACGTAGACAAAACTTTGAACGAGCCTTTTTAATGATGAAATATGGTATTTTAATGATCCTTTGACTATGTGTGCGTATGTAGAGAGAGAAGAGAATTTGGGGTTTGCCTTTTTTATAATAAACTTTCTATGTAAGTAAACTCAACACAAATACAAAACAAAACAATGCAACAGTCAAACGAGTTCTTTGATGTGATTTTGGCTCAGATTTTGATTCAGGATTTTTTGATTTCGAGTTTTAGAGAATTGTTAAAAACTCGTTTAACAATGTTTATATGCTCAGGATGTTTAACAATTCTCCAAAACTCGAAATCAAAAATCAAAATCTGAGCATATAAACATTTGACGACCTTAATTTATATTTAGCATTTGTATGATCTTTAGGGTTCTTGGGATTTATCTGAGAATCTGAGCTCACCAAAAGGATTATTGTATATATAAGAATTCATTGTCTTCAGACTTAGTTACACAGTTTGCTAATTATTATTCTTATTTTTATTTTTTTTACGAAGGTAAAAGTAAAAGATTAAAATCAATAATTTCAAGAACGTATTTTGTTCGTTTTTTTTTCTTCTTATTTTTTCTTACATACAACTACAAATTATTATGCTTCGAGTGGATTTGTACGGTTACTGTAACCCCCTATCATGGGCATCCGAATACATGAAAATACCCAAGTAACGACAACAATACAGACTTTGCCGATCAACCTAACCTGAAAGAGCAACGGGAAGAAAAAGAGGAAGGAGGAATGAGTAATGAGACTCTCATTATGAGAGCCTTAGGGAGACCCACAGAGTCACCATCAGACAATTACGTGAGATAACTATATATGAAAGTCTAATCGTAAAACAAACTCAAGCAATTTCTATATAGTAACTAAACCATTTCACAGTAACAATTCCATATTAACACCACAATTTCACTCAAATATTCACCACCAAATCATATACCAATCAAGAGCCTCTTAAGCTCATCACACAAATCACAAAACCACTTTGACACCCAACACTCGTCTTCCTTTCCGTAGTAACCCAAGAGGCCGGCCTTGCCATAATCTCAAACTCGTGTCCATCCAATCCTGCCTTCTCATAGGAACCAACCGGCAATTGGCTATGCAACCAACATAAATGTGTCACACATAATAATCTGAGGGCTCACCAAAACCCTCTCACGGCGTTGAGAATTGATGACCTTGATAACACCGTGTTTTTACCTATTATAATTTAGGATTTCTTATACTGTTTCAAGTGTTTTAATTATTTTAAGTGTTTTTATTACTTTTTTCTTATATTTGTATTTTCAAAACTCTTTTCATGCTTAAGAAAAAACATTGCAAAATGGAGAAAAACCACATTTTCAGCTTATTGTCAAACCGTCAAAAGTTCAATCTCAAATGAAGACATTCTCACCATCTGATCCAGCTCAAATTTAGAGACATTCGAGAGGAGCCAGCTGACTTTCCATTGAATATTATTTGAGGACAATCCAACGATCAATAAAAAGATACATGAAGACTAAGATGTCCTATCAACCATTTCGACTTTCAGATGACCCGTGGAAAACACGGGCCTATCCGCGCCTCACACCCTTCACCCACGGTGGAACTCCGTTTTACTGGTCTCTGAGAGCTCTCACCCGTGGTAAGCTTTATCTCAGCCTTAAGGGCCAACTTCAAGCCCATTGTGCATTCTATTCAAAGAAAACCTTATAGACGACCTAGAGGACTTGAAATCCTATAAATATGTACTTTAGAAACCCTATTTTTAGGTGTGTGCTCCTGTACAAAGTTTTAGAGCCACCAAAATTTTATTTTCTTAGTTTTTAGGTTAGAGAGATAGAGATTCTTCTCTTGAACCCTTGTTATTCTTTTTATCTATCTATTCAGTTTATGCATTAATCTATATATTTTTGCTTTTCTTAATTATGTCATGGTAGATTTAGTAGTTGGGTCTAAGGGATCCATCAAAGGGGACCTAATGTTCGATTACGATTAATGCTTTCTTTGCCATATTCTAGATCTCATTTCTTCTAAGTTGTTCATACTGCAAGAAGTTAGTGTCATTAACTAATTTCTGATCTTAGGATGCAAGAAGCCATGACAGTGATGTATTATTCATCCATACATAGCTTCAGAAGAACAGAATCGCTGTAGGAGATGAAATCTACCTACAAATAATTCGTGAGCAAAGATGAAACCTGTTTAGGTAGTGCATGATTTTTCTCGCGGCCAGAGACAAAAGCTATTGGTCGAGTTTGGGTTTTTAGTTGGTTAGGACATACAACAGTAGGCTAATCATACCAGTGTCCATTCTAGTTCCATGTAGATCCGTAGAAACTGATTTTAGAGTTTAGAAACCTAGCATGAATTGAGCATCCCCTGAGATATCCATACCAACCCAACTTTCTTTTATTTTCTTAGCCCATATCGTTTAGGTTTAGTAGTTTTTCTATTTTTATTTTTTAGTTTTACTTTTCCGTGACACCAAAAACCCCTATAGAAACCATCATTAGTCTTTTAATCCGTTTACTAATCCTTGTTTGAATTTTTTGTAGAAAAGATACCTCCCTGTGAAGATATCCTATGTACTACACCGCACAGTAGTGCACTTGCAAACACCCTGTTTATAAATTTAATAATTTTTCTACAACATCAACCCTAGCTCGCATCAGACCTTATAGGCATCCTTAAGCCCCAACAAACAATATGCGCACCATAGGAATCTTGTGACAGACACCTAACAGTTCTAATATAATATAAAAATACTAATCTAGTCTAGCATTCATCTCCGAAGTAAATAACAAGTTGTAAAATGGGAACATACAAAGCAGGTTATCAATCAACTCACCAAATTCTATAATTTGATAATTTTCAAGTCATATTCCAGAAATGTGTTGGTCGAGCAACTATTAATCAATCAGCAACCAATAGCAGCCCTAACAACAGATCTACAACAGCTATGCTTTAAGGAAAGACTAACAATAATTAAAATACGTTCTTGAAAGATAAGTGAAGGGCAACGAGTCTTCACCTTGGCAATGAAGGAGGTGATGGCATAGGAGAAAGGGAAGCAAGATGAGATCCATCATCTGATCCGACGGAAAAGGTTGGCGAAGAAGGAGGAGAAGGAGAAGACATTGCAGTGGCAGCTAGGGTTTTGGAGGAGAGAGAGAGGTCGCGGAGAGGAGGGAGAGGAAGAGAGAGAGATTCACGGCAAGGAGAGTGAGGAAGAGAGGCTCAGCATAGAGAGAGAGAGAGAGAGAGAGAGAGAGAGAGAGAGAGAGAGAGAGAGAAAAAGAGAGAAGAGTATGCTAAGGTTCTAGAAAAGAGAGAATAAGAGATTTACGAGAAGTATTTTGATGCGAGCTAGGGTTGCTGTCGCAAAATAATTTTAAATTTATAAACCCTAGTGTCTGCAAGTGCACAGCCGTGTGTTGTAGTACTTAGGGTGTCGATCCACATGGATAGTTGTCTTTTCCTGCAGAAACTTCAAACTGGATTAGTAATCGAACTCAAAGACCAATGGGGTTTTTTGTGGGGTTTTGGTGTCACGATTTCTACTAGGCTAAACAGGAAATAAAAATAGAACAAAACAAAGATGAAAAACGTGCTGGGAATTAGGGTTTCTCTCTAGGGTTCATGATCTATGACACAAGGAATTTAGGTAAGGATTTTCTATGATTCTAAAACTAGGATAGACACTTGTAAGATTAGCCAACTCTCGTCACCCTAATCATCTAATCACTCATTCATGGTAATTAACTCTCGATCTCATGCCAGAATAAGATCATGCATTTTAGCTCGGAATCCATCTCGGCTTACGTATCCTCCGTAGGTAGCTTTGTCTCCTACGACGGTGACGTCCATAAGATCCAGTTCAGGCAACCCAGATACAACACTCTCGTGGCTCGGATTTAACCTAGGAACGGACACTGGTTATCTACTCCAGCGTTACCGCATTGAGATTTGAATAAATGGGAGAATCATTAAAATCCAAATCCTTTAACCTAAGAAACCTAGATGTCATCGGTCATGGGGCCCCTTTTCGATGGCCCTCTTCACCCAGCAAGGTGACTACTCAGACATGGCTGAGCTTGACAACATCATCATTGGTTTTCAAATATAAAAGCAGTAAAGTAAAAGAGATTTCATAAACTGAATAGATAGGTGAAAAGAAAGAACAAAGGTTCAAGAGAAAAATCTCTATCTCCCTAATCTAAACCTAAGAAACAAAACTTTGGTGCCTCCCTATCAAGGGGAAAGGAGCACACACGACATTAGGTCTTCTAAAGTACATATTTATAG